TTTATTTCAACATCTAATTTATTTAATTCATCACTTAATTTATGGATTATTTCTGCTTTCCTATCTTCATTTTCTTCATTGTCTAATTCTTCTGAAATCTTTTTTAGTTCATTTAATGATTCATAAAATAAATAATAATAATTATATCTTTGTGAACAACTGGTACAATCTTCTATTATTTTTAAAGTGTCAAGTAATTTGTTTGAATTAATTGATGCATTTGATTCATTTAGTTTGATGAGTAATTCATATAATGGATCAAATACATTCTTCTTTTGACACCCATCACATAATGCTAGATTTATTTCAGCATCTAATTTATTTAATTCATCACTTAATTTATGGATTATTTCTGCTTTCCTATCTTCATTTTCCTCCCCATCTAATTCTTCTGAAATCTTTTTTAGTTCATTTAATGATTCATAAAATAAATAATAATGATTATATATTTGTGAACAACTGGTACAATTTTCTATTATTTTTAATCTGTCAAGTAAATTGTTTGAAATAATTGATTCATTTGATTCATTTAGTTTGATGAGTAATTCATATAATGGGTTTAATATATTCTTCTTTTGACACCCATAACATAATCTTAATTTATTCATTTTAACATCTAATTTATTTGATTCATCACCTAATTTATGGATTATTTCTGCTTTCCTATCTTCATTTTCTTCCGATTTTAATTCTTCTGAAATCTTTTTTAGTTTGTTTAATGTTTCATAAAATAAATAAAAATAATTATATCTTCCTTGTGAACAACTGGTACAATCTTCTATTATTTTTAATGTGTCAAGTAATTTGTTTGAAATATTTGATTCATTTGATTCATTTAGTTTGGTGAGTAATTTGTATAATGGATCAAATATATTCTTCTTTTGGCACCTATCACATAATAATTTATTTATTTCAACATCTAATTTATTTGATTCATCACTTAATTTATGGATTATTTCTGCTTCCCTATCTTCATTTTTTTCCTTGTCTAATTTTTCTGAAATCTTTTTTAGTTCATTTAATGATTCATAAAATAAATAATAATAATTTTTTTGTATATTTACTTTACAATTGATACAATTTTCTATTATTTTTAATGTGTTGAGTAATTTGTTTGAATTAATAAGTTCATTTAATTCATTTAGCTTGGTGAGTAATTCGTTCAACGAGTTGAAAATTTCACTCATTTTACAAAATAATAATCACAAAAATTACAGTGAATCAATTTTACTAAATAGGGGTAAAATAAATTTACAGCAGACATAATAATAATAATAATAAAATTTTATTTACTTTTCCACAACGGATTTTTATGTTTTTATACGTCAAGCAAAAATTTTAAAACTCCATCATGACAAGAATATAATTATAGTTCTCTCTGGCAAGGTTTGACTGTATTATTGTGATCGATCACCTTTAAATAAACTTAATTTTTTGTTCACTATATTTCTTTGAACAATGGATATATCCAGCAAGTGGGATTCCTATTTTAACGAAACATTGCCCGGCCAGTATTGTTTACCAACATCGTTTAAAAAAGGATGTCTTCCCTTTTTCATTTCAAAAGGATGTAGATAAACTAAAAAAAAGTTCTAATCCCTACAGAAAAATACTAACTCAGAAAGAATTTTCAAACGATTAAAGTAAAAATTTGAAGAAAGTATTTTTGTAATGTATGACCGGCAGGCAGTATAGAAGGTATCCAGAGCCTGAGAAAGTGTCAATTTCACATAACTATGATGGGCTTCTGCTAGTAGCCTATTTTACGATCTGCTTCGTTGTGTCTACCGAAAGGTAGTATGGGAGACCTGAGAAAGGGTCAACTCACATAGCTATGTCAGGCTTCTGTTTGTAACCTGCTTTATGATTTGCTTGTTCATTATGGTCTGCTTTTTTGCCAGTGGTTTTTCTTTGTAGTATTTATCACATTACATGTTCAGTACTCAAATATTATTATTTCTTTTAGAATTACCGAGCCAAATATCAGGATGTTGACGAATATTGAATTCAAGTTGTAGAGCCTCGCCAACGAGTTCCAAACTTTTCATGTTTCTCCCAATTAATTCCCTTCTAACTCACGGTCATACGCGTAAAAGTTCCACAGCAGAGATTTTTACGGTGGCTTTGAAGACATCGATTTCTTCCAAAAATTTGATATGCTTCATTCGAAAGCCTGTTAAGCAAGGAAATAAAAGAATCCGCAATTATCCCAAACTTTTCCAGATTCCATAAGTTTACGCCATTCCTGTGATCTTATTTTGAATTCTGTAAGAAGAGAGTAAATCTATAAGCGAGTAAGAGAATTAATTTCATGCATACGATACGATACAGGGATTTATGAAACAAAGCGAAAAAGACCCCTGATAATAAAGAAATCCTCTCCTCAAGCTGTTTCATAAACTTGGCTGAAAGCTCTTGTGGCGACCAAAGGTGAAGGTAGAACTTGCTAAAAAGAAATGAGTACTCTACGTCTTTATTTAACGTCACATGACATAAATCAAAAATATCTTTCGCAGTGCAATAAGAATCAAACTAGTCTTGGATCATGATTCTGCAAAATTGCTTTCAAAACCAAAATGTTTTAATCAAGTTAATTCACTTAATAAACTACAAAGAGCTTGAGAATGCCATTATTATCCTTTATATATATATATATATATATATCTAAACTATTCTTTATTTTATATACAATTATTTGTAATAGAAGGTAAATTCTAAATAAAAATATAAAATATAAAAATATCAAAGGTACAAGGAAGCAGCAAAAATTATACCACGCCTTGTTTTTTCAATGGCTTCTTTAAATTTCTCTTCTAATTCACTATTCCCGATACTCTTTGATGCTGCAATCATTCCTCGTAATAAATCATCAAGATAACGAAAAGTACGAACAATTTCTCCTTCAAAAATCGAATCACCCATTTTTATAATTTGTGTAAATGGTTTTCCCTAAATCCATCAAAAAAGTATTAATATTAAAAAAATTACCATAAAAACAAAGCATGGATATTATTTTTGACTGCTTACACAACACCAGTTATAAACAATTTCCATCATATCCGAAGGAAACAAGCTTAGGTATTCCTCTTTATTCAATGGGATGTTACACTCAACAGATACTGCAGCAACATTTTGTGCAACCTCTTGTAATTTACTGTAAACTGTAGAAAATTCTTCTTTAACAAATCCTGATTTCTTATCACTGGGTCGCTCTAATACGAAACAACTTAAAAGGGCTGCAGCCATTTCTGGTGATAAATCATTAAATACACCATTCAACAACATTTCAGTTAATACAAGTTCATCCCCTGCATTAATCTCACAAGCAACACGCCCTTTAATTGTAACAACATCATTTTCTGATAAATATCCTAATCTACGAAGAACTCTCTTACGGCACCTGAGATCATCAAGTTGTAAAATAGATTCTGCAATATTAATTGTTTTTTTTAACGATTTTATCTTAAGTTTGAGCTCATTCTTTTTACAGTGTAGTTCATATAGCTTAGGTAGTTTTTCTGTATTGTGGAGTTTATTGGACACAAGTTTTGTTTCTAAAACCTCAATTTTCTAAAACATATATAATTATTAATATACATTATTTCATTTCAAAAAAAAAAAAATATTAAAATATTAAATATGTCTAATTACTTTTATTAGTCTTTGAAAGTTCTCTTCTTCAATACCCATATGCTCTATTGGATCTAAAAGTGGTATTCCTTCAGCAAATTTTTCTTTAATATCCATTATACTATTATATACTGTCTTTTTACAATCATCGTGTGTTAGATCCTTGGGTGGAAAGATACATATTTGACTTATATAATTAATAGTAGAAAAATCAGCAGGAACAATCTAATTTTATAAATGATGAATTTAAAATTTATTAATTGTTAAATGAAAAGGAAGAAAAAAATTACGCAAATCATAATGATTATAATACCATCATCTCTCCTAAACCATTTCCACTGTAAGGTTTTGCAGTAATTTTTTTATCATCTGCTGATTTAGCAACATGTGATTCATCAGATTCACAATTTAACATTACATCAACAAAATAATGATCCGGTGGTAAAAAAAGCTCTTGATTATTTGAATTTTCTATTAAATTTTCAACCACTACTTGATTCAAATCTGATTCATCCTCCACTGATTTTAATTCTTCTTTTGTTTCATCAGTGGGACTCTATTTTAATAATAATAATATTGATTATTAATATTTTACTTTGAAATAATTTATAAAATTATTTATTTATTTGATTTAAATACCTTTCTTTTTCCCCAAGAAACTACCATACCCCAGCCAAAATCCGTATTTGCATGTTTTATCCAAACTAAACGACCAGGCCTCATGTATTTCAGAATATTAAGTGGATGGTTTATAGTATTCCTTATTTCATGAGTATATGTATCTAATAGTGAACGAATATTGTAATACTCTTTAATTTCTTCTTCTTCAGGTATATCAATTTCTTTGTATTCTTTTTCTAGTCTCTGAAGTTCTATTATGAAATTTTCATGTAAATATTTATTTGATATCAAAAAAAATTATTTCTAGCCAATTAATAATCTTTACCTGCATCAAGTTTTGGTAATCCTGATGTATTTTGAAATTGATAGAAACTTCTCTGGAGAATATAATCAGGACTAATTCCTTCAACTCTTGTCATATTTAAGATCATATTATATTTCAAATGAAATGCAGAGTATATATTATCAGGTTCGCCCTATTTTTAAAAACAAACAAATTAAATGATTTTTTTAATAGACTGATTAAATAGCTAATAACTCTTAATTCTAATTTACCGTCATCATTCCTTTAACAACTGATGGTTCTAATTTTTCTCTTGCCATAATTATTACAATTCCTCTTGTATCAAGACCTCTTCTACCAGCTCGACCAGACATTTGAATATATTCACCAGAAGTTAACTAAAAATAATAATAATTTATTCAAAAATTAATTTAGATTTTGATTTGACATGATAATAGTGATAACAATCATTGTAAACAACCTACATATCTTACAACTTCACCATCAAACTTTTTAATATCAGAGAATATAACAGTTTTAGCAGGCATATTAAGACCCATTGAGAATGTCTCAGTCGCAAAAAGAACTTTAATTAACCCTTCTTGGAAAAGTAATTCAACAACCTCTTTAAGAAATGGTAATAATCCTGAATGATGAATTGCAACACCGCGCTTTAAAAATGGTAACATGTGTTCAATTTGTGGTATATTTTGATCATCTTCAGGAATTAAGTTAAGTGCATTGTCAAATACTTGTTGTATTAAATCCTTTTCTTCATCTAAAATAATAATGATGTCGTTAAAGATGATAAAATTAAAAGGTACAACTAAAGTTAAATAAATTTATTTTACCATTATTTAAATCCAAATGATTTATATGCAGTGCCAAATTCTCGCATTCTTTTCTACTAAAAGTAAAAAATATCACTGGATCATATTTTTTTAGCATAATCATATTTACTATTTTGTAAACATCGGATGGGCCTAAGTTTAAACAATAAGTTTTATAATTCTTGTAGGCACTAGTAATCGAAAAGATATTAATAATTGTTATTGTTTTAATACCTTTTATTGTTTGTGGTGGTGATGATTTTTTCTTTCCTTTATAATCAATATATTCAGCATTAGTATTAGCACCTACATCCAACATCCCTATTACTTTTGTAAAATTTTCTTGGTGAAAATTTCCTTTTTCATCTGCAATCATGAAAATACCGTCACTCACACAAGGATAAATATAATGTTGTAAAGGTGTTGGACGGAAATCAGTATATACAACATGGCATGGCTATTAAGAAACAATGCATATTTTTAAATTAAACTATAAAGTTAATTAATCAATCAATAAAATAGTCAAATACCAAAAAAAAAATTTTTTATATAAAATCTTACTTCTGCATGTATTTTACATATCCACTCTGCAAATTCCATAGCGTTTGGAACTGTTGCAGATAAAAACACAAGATGAATTTGGTGCGATAAAAGAATAATAGTTTCTTCCCAAACTACACCACGGACTGGATTAAAATCAAATAAAAATGTTAACTAAAAATTTTTTTTTTTCTTACACTAATTAATTAATTCATCTTGTAAATTTTCGAATACCTTTATCTTTCATATAATGTATCTCATCAAAAATTACCCATGACACTTCGTGCATCATTTCATTGCCACGATAGAGCATAGTCAATAAAATCTATTTTTTTGAATGATGATTTATTAATTTATATATGTATATATAATTCTTTATGTAAAGGATTCTAAAACTACCTCTGTAGTCATCACTAAACAACTTGCATCAGGTTTAATAGTAACATCACCAGTTATCAATCCAACGTCACCAAAAGAATTTTCTAATTCTCTGTATTTTTGATTGCTTAAAGCCTTAAATATAATAGTAATAATTAACAGTTTAATTACTAGAACAAAATAATTAAAAAAGAAGTTTATTTTATTGAAATTGTTCATACCTTTATTGGGGTGGTATAAATGACTCTTTGTTTATTTTTCAAAGCTTGCGCGATAGCATATTCTGCAACAACTGTCTTTCCAGCAGAAGTGTGTGCACTAACTAGAATTGATTCAAATCTTTCTATACAGTGTATTGCAACTTTTTGAAATGGATCCAATTCAAATGGATATATTCTTGCAGGTTCTGCGGGTGAAACGTGTTTAGAAAGTGGAATATAATTATAACCAGGAGGAATCGCAACTTGATGCCGAACCTAATTGATAATCATCAATATGATAATAATGATGATTATGATCAAGAACAAAAATTTTCAGAATTTAAAATACCTGATGACTTATTATAACATCTTCGACTTCAAGTGGCTCTCCCTCTGACATAAAACTAGGCACAAAAGCAACAGTCCTGGTTGATTCTTCTTGAAAAGTATCAGCCAATATAGGTTGAATGTTATCTGAATCAAAAATTTTTGGTGTGATAGTTTGTTGGGTTTGTTGACAATCCAAGCTTTTGGTTTCCAAGATGGTTTCTAGACTGTGCGATGTAGTTGAAATATCCAAATCATTATCTAATTCAATGTGTGATTCATTATCTGAAAAATTTTGATCAGAAGGTGAATTTTCTTGAAACTTTGTTTTTTTAGCTGGCTGGTCATTATTAAATCCTTTTGTAGATCTGGATCTTTTTTTACTTGTATCAGAATTGTTTTCTTTAAAAGATGAATTTATCGGTGATGATGATTCGTTAAACATATTTATTAATATTAATATATTATTGTAATATGTGATCTACCATATTTATAACACAGCGCGTGTAACTTCTAAAGTTTCACTAATTTCTAATCGTGTACGAAATTGATTGGTTCATGAAATTACAGAAATTTCACACACATGTATAAATATTTCGCTTGAAGTTGTTTTTTTTTTATTACAATTTTTTTATTATCCTAGCTTACAACAAGCTTTAATTCTTTTTTTCTTCAATAATAATAATAATAATTATTATTTTTTACTTTTTTCCCCAAACCATATGATATAATATTACCGATTATACAATGAGTTGTGAGTATTATATAATAATATAATAATAATAATCTTTTTTTTTATTTGAATTAAGGCTTTTTTTTCAAACTAAAGATTAAATTATTCATTTTCTAGTTCGATTTCTAAATCTCATCAGGCCTTTCATGGCCATACTTCCAGAAGTTACAGCCCCTGAAAGAAAGGTCAGTACCATTTAATTTGAAAAAAAAAAGTCTTTTCATTAATAAAAATTTCACTATAATAACATGTTTTATGTCATGAAGGTACCCTTTCGACAAAAAATTTTGTGGACAGCTGTTACGCTCCTTATTTTTTTAGTGTGTTCACAAATTCCATTGTATGGCATAATGTCATCTGATTCATCTGATCCTTTATATTGGTTACGTGTAATTCTTGCTTCGAACAGAGGTACACTGATGGAATTGGGTATAACACCTATTGTAACATCGGGAATGATTATGCAACTTTTAGCTGGAGCAAATTTGATTGAGGTTGATTTCAGTTTGAAAGAAGATAGAGCATTGTTCAGCGGTGCTCAGAAACTTTTTGCAATGGTTTTTGCTTTTGGTCAAGCTACAGTATCTGTGATGACTGGGTTGTATGGCAATCCGTCAGAAATCGGAGCTGGTGTTTGTCTATTGCTTATCATTCAATTAGTTTTTGCCGGTCTCATTTCTATGTTGTTGGATGAACTTCTTCAAAAAGGCTATGGTCTAGGATCTGGAATTTCACTTTTTATCGCTACAAATATTTGTGAGTCAATAGTTTGGAAAGCATTTAGTCCAACGACTGTTAACACAGGGCGTGGACCCGAATTTGAAGGAGCTTTGGTTGCATTGGTTTATCTAGTTTTCACTCGTAATGATAAAACTCGTGCACTGAAAGAAGCATTTTATAGAACAAACTTACCAAATGTCATGAATTTAATAGCAACTGGGGTAGTTTTTGCTATTGTCATTTATCTTCAAGGTTTCCGTGTTGAAATTCCTGTTAAATCGAATCGTTTTCGCGGTCAATATGGAACTTATCCAGTCAAATTGTTTTATACTTCAAATATGCCCATCATGCTTCAATCCGCTCTTACCTCTAATGTTTTCTTGATTTCACAAATGTTATATAATCGTTTCCCTGATAATTTACTTGTTAGACTTTTAGGTGTTTGGACTGTGAGTTTATTTATGAAAAATATATATTGCATGTATATATATAAAAAACTTATATATAATAATTTTAATTTATTGTAGCCATTTGAAGGATCCTCACAATTATTTGCGTCAGGCGGTCTTGCATATTTCATATCACCACCACAAAGTATAATTGATGCCATCAAAGATCCAATTCACACAGTTATATATATTGTTTTCATGTTATCAGCATGTGCTCTTTTCTCCAAAACTTGGATTGAAGTTTCAGGATCTTCACCACGCGATGTAGCCAAACAACTTAAAGATCAAGGAATGGTTATTGCTGGATATCGTGAATCATCAATGTACAAAGAATTAAAACGTATCATTCCTATTGCTGCTGCTTTTGGTGGTGCTTGTATTGGAGCCTTATCTGTTAGTGCTGATTTACTCGGTAAGTAATTTGATTGTTTCAGATGTTTAATTTTTAAAAAATTTATATGGATAATGAATTAATTGATATATGTGTCGTATGTGTTTATGACATTAAAGGTGCACTTGGTTCAGGCACAGGAATACTGTTGGCAACCACTATTATATACTCATATTTTGAAATGTTTGTTAAGGTATGCAAGAAAAAAATTATTTAGTTTTTTTTGTTTAGAGTAATTCATCGCTTATATTTTTTTACTTTTTACTTTTCGAAATATATAGGAACAAGCCGCTGAAGGAGGTCTTGATGCATTAATGTTCTAAAAAAAATATTTATTATTATTTTAATCATTTTTTTGACACATACACATCAATAAAATTTCTTTTTTTCTATAAGCTATTATATATAATTAGAAAGTAAATTTTAAAAAAATCACAGTCATCATCATATCATCATTTAATTGTGTCCAACTGTGAAAAAAAATATAAAATTTTTTATTTCCCCTCCTAAATAGATTCATTCAATATTTAAAGTAATAGATTGATTATTTTTTAAAAATAAAATTATATGTATATAATTATTTAATTAATACATTACCAAATTACCTTGAATACGTGGAGATTTTTTCTAAACGTTCATGATTTTTTCTCATCTTGTTCGATTGATTGTTGTTAACATATTATTATAATCAATTATATAAATTGCTTCCACTTCCATTACTATTATTGCTGTTACTATTATTATTATTATTATTATTATTATTATTATTATTATTATTATTATTATTACTATTATTATTATTATTAGCAGCATTAATAGCATTTATATTGACAGAACTTGATAAAACATTTGAAGCCATTAAGTTGTTTATATAAGTTTGTAGTATTTGATTCCCTGATTGTATTTGATTATGATCATCTTTAACTGCTTCTACTTTTTGAATTAATGCTAATTAAAGTTATCGATTGATTTTTTAGCTGGTTAGTTCTTGTTTATAAAGGAAAAAAAATATTTTTTAATTAAAAAATGATTGAAAGAAAACCTTTCAATCCTTCTTGCAATTCAATCACTTCCCTAAAGAAGAATAATGATTTTTTTAAAAGAAATAAAGTTAAAAAGAATATTACATTATTCGAAATTGATTGATAATAAAATTACTTTATTAACACTGATCTTTCTTCTGCACTTAATTCATTCTCATTTGTTTCTGTTGTTGCTTTGGATGTTTCTGAAACTGATGACATTTTTAATTTATTATTTTTACTATTTAATTATTTCAACAAAAGATTCATGTTGTTGTTGCTAAATGTGTAATTAGAATTTTTAAAAAACCATGTGATATTTAAATGTTGATGATCAAAAAAATTTTTTTTTTTGAAAAAATTATCAATCAAAAAAAGAAGGAAAAAAAATTTTTTTTTAATTTTAAAACCTTTTCCCATTGTTAGATATTTTTTTTTTTTTAATAAAAATAAAAGTCATGGATAGATTTCCAGCTATATTAAATGGTAATTAATTGATCAATTAATCAATCAATTAGTTTTTTAAAATCTATTTTTATAAAATTTTTTTGATTAATTTTTAAAATCAGATTATATAAATTAATATTAACTAATTGATTTTTTAACAAAAAAATAATGTTTAGCTAAGGAGGAAGATATTAGTCTTCTCCTAGCAGCTCAAACTTATATCGGAGCTAAAAATTTAAATGTTCAAATGACTCCTTATGTCTTTAAACGACGTCCAGATGGTAACATATAGATGGATATTTATATATATTTATATATAATATATAAATATATAAATATAATATATACAAAACATATAAATGATTATCAAATTTTTAAAAAATTTTTTTTTTTTAAAAAATAGGTGTTCATGTCATTAATATTGGTAAAACATGGGAAAAGTTGATTTTCGCAGCCCGTATCATTGCGACCATAGAAAATCCTGCCGATGTTTGTGTTATTTCAGCTCGTCCATATGGTCAAAGAGCAGTATTAAAATTTGCATCTTATACACAAGCTCAACCTATAGCCGGTAGATTTACTCCAGGAACATTTACAAATTATATCACTCGCTCTTTCAAGGAACCCAGATTAATCATAGTAACTGATCCACGTAGTGATCATCAAGCTATCAAAGAAGCCTCATATGTCAACATCCCGGTGATTGCATTGTGTGACACAGATTCTCCTCTTAAATTTGTAGATGTCGCAATTCCAACCAACAATAAGGGTAAACATGCTATCGGTTTAATATACTGGTTATTGGCTCGTGAAGTTCTTCGTCTTCGTGGTACCATTTCTCGCGAAGAATCATGGGGTGTAATGGTTGATATGTTCTTTTATCGTGATCCTGAGGAAGTTGAAAAGGAAGCTGAAGTAGTTGCCGCAGAAAAAGTTACTTATGAGACATATGAAAATGAGACTAACTGGAATCAACACGATGCTCAAAGTGGCTGGGATGCGTCTGGTACAACATCTATTGGTGGAGTTAATCCTGAAATCGTTGCCGCAGCTACAGCAAATGCTGGAGCATCAAATTGGGATGTACCAGATACAAGTGGAGGAGGAAGTTGGGGTGATATTCTTGAATCAACTACTACTGTTATCGAAACAACCGCTCAAACTGAGACTCCTGTTGTTACTACTACGACTACCACAACCGTCGTCACTGAAACTAGTGGTGGTGATTGGTCAGTAGAAGCTAATACTACAGGTGGAGGAGGTTGGGACCCTGAAGCACCAAGCGGAGATTGGGCAAATGAAACTGCTCAAGAAGAAACCAGTACAGGATGGGATTAAAAAATCTTTTTAATTTAAACAAAATAAAATAAATAATAATAATAATAATAACCTTTCTTTTTATTATTATCATTTCATTATAACTTTATTATATTCAATAAAATTTTTTATTATTTATAATTTATAATTTATATAATTAACTAAGAATAATTGAAAAAAACTTTTTTTAACAATATAAATAATATAAATAATAAAATGTACAAATAATAATAATATAGATTTAAATATATATACATTACGAGATATTATTATTTTGCTATGTAGTTTCTGGGGCACCTCTTAATCCCTCTTCCATCTTTAATCGATACTCTTTTATCAATTCTTGTTCCCTACCATTCATCTCTATCTCAAAATCTTTCCGTTTTTTATCCAACTCTTTCAAAAACTTTTCACGTTCCGTTGAATAGAGATCTGGTTTATCTTGCTAATTGACCAGTTTTTTTTTACTATTAATCATCATCGTCATCATTATCATGAAAAAAATTATTATTTATTAAATAGTGAAAAAAAAAACCTGTTTTAATTCGTTTAATTCACTTAATAATGATTCAAATTCTGATTTTGACTTTTTCACTTTTCAATTATTATTATTATTCAAAAGAAGATCGATATTATTAGTAATAATCAAATCATATAAATAGTTTTCAAGATAACTTACACTTTTCATTCACATCATTAATATTCTTTTCCATATGTTCTTTTCCATCTATTAATCTGTTAGGTGAATCTTGGATAAATTTAACACATTTTGCAAGGTTTTCTGATTCACGATTGTTTCTCGTAGCCTTAAAGCGAGTTAATTTTATTTATTTTACAATTATATATTTTTTGTTATCGAAACAAAAAAAAAATTTAAAAAACTAAAACTTACTTCAAATTCTTTAACGAATGATTTTATTTCTTTATCAACTGATTCTTTTGGATGATTAAATATTATTTCGTACAAATTGCTTATATCTATATAAGATCATTCCAAATCAGGTTAATTCTATCGGTTTGTATAATATTTCAATAGTTAATTTACTTTGAATGGCAGCTTTTGGATCTAATTTAGGTGTCATTTTTTCCTTCTTCTAACGAATGAATAATGAAATAATCAACCATGTTAAATGGGGCCAAAGCGAACATTTGATTTTGGGGTTCATAATGATCAATTAATTGTACCACTACCAATATTAATAAATATATTTTTTTCGTGTTTTAAAAAAAAAAAATTTAATTCACCCACCACATTGTTCCTATTATCATCAATGTTCTCTACATCTTCTTCTTCAGCAATAACAGAATCAATAATAGAAACAACTGATAATAGTAACGAAGTAAAAGGTAAACAAGAGTGGGTTAAACAAATGAGACTAAAATTTAGTATAAGACCTGATTTGGAAATTACAAAAAATATCGTCTATTCTGATGGAACATTAAACCAAGAGTAACTATTATTATTGTCATTGTTTCATTACGATTATATTTTAAATTGGAAATTGAAGATTTTGTATAACGTTTATTATTATTATAATAATTTAGCTATTTTCGTCCTCCAAAAGAAATCATTGCATTGTCGTCGTCGTCATCATCATCATCGCCACCATCGTCATCGCCACCATCATCTGCTTCTCCATCATCATCATCACCAGCACCAGTATCAGCATCAGCATCAACATCAAAATCAGTACCAGCATCAACATCAGTATCAGCATCTTAATCATTAAATCAACAAGCCTAAAAAAGGTTTTTATTAAGAAAAATTTTTTTAATTTTTGTAATAAATCATTATAAAAGAGGAAAGATATTTTGAATTAATTCTTGGATATTAAAATAAATGGACACATTAGTCTTAGTTACAATTCTGAATTGAAACAGTTGAAAAAAGTATTTACACCGTATATATACAAGTAATAGTTGCAGTATAATAATTATCTATTTTCAAAAAAAGCTTTAGAAATTGTTCAATAGAGTATTTGTTATTCATAAAAAGTTCTTTAAGCTTAAAACTATTTTATAATTTAATTTAATTGATTAGACATTCTACGTTATGTTCTCTCTCTCTTTCTATAAGTCAATCAATCCACCAATCAATTATAAATAATTACACAAAAAGCTATATAATATAATATATAAACATAGATAGATGTATATAAAAGTAGATAGATATATATATATATATAGAATTCTTCAACTGTAAATAAAAAATATTTTTAATTTATTTATCATGCTTTGTTACATTACTGAAAATATATTAGATGGTGAATGATAAATCTGACATGCTGCCGTTTATTGTAAATCACATAATTTATCTTCTTTTAAGATTTTTTCTTTGCAAAACTGGCTGTGCGACTGAATGCAATAATAACAGCAATATATTATGATTTATCTTGTATATTAAATATTATTTTCGAATATCATATAATTTACTAACCATTCCTTGCTGCTTGCTTTCGTTTCAAGAGCTCTTTTCTTTCACGCCTTCTTTTTTCTTCTTGATTAATATAAATTCTCCTTGGAATATGTTTTTTTTTGATAATACTTTTATTTTTACTATTATTATTATTAATCTTTTTATGATTTGATGACGTGGATGATTTAACAACAACATTAGTTTCCATATGTTTTCGTTTCAACCCAATTAATCTTCCCATTTCCTGTAATTTAGAGATAACATTTTTTGTTGTGATGGATTGCATATTTGTTGATTGGCAAAGTCTAGGAATTCGTGAAGGTCTGGTCCTAATGAGATTTTTTCCCCTTCCAAATTTCTTTAAAAAAATTTGCCTAGATTTATTGTTAATATTTTCCAAAGTAGTGGCTTTTGGAGATTCTTTTGAATATTAAATAAATTATTATTATGATAAATGAAATTTTAATATAATGATGACAACGATGATAACGATGATAGCAAATAATAATAATATTTGCCTATTTCCAAACTGTCTATATCAAGTTGTTCTTTTTCATGATCTTTCTTAAGTTGATTTAATAAAGTAAGTTTCAATTAACAAATGTCAAATTATATATAATAATGATTGATGATTGAATTGTTTTAATATATTCACCAGACTTGGTAAAAATCTTTTTCGTATTTCATCAAAATATCCGTCATCTGACATCGTATCTATTTGTGATTCGTGATGGATGTTATTGTTGTCGGAAACATCATATTTTATGTCTGTTGATATATCATCGTTTTCGCAACCACTCAACTCCTTCAATGCATATTTTGCTAAATTCATTTGTAAAACAGAATTCTATATATATAATAATATAAATGATAATTTATGTTTAATGGACATATTTGAGTGAGCTGGATGTTCAATACTAAAGATTTTTTTTTTTTCTTTTTACCTTTTGACTACTATTCAAACCGAGCTGTTTACAAATAATTTCGAGCTCGTTTCGTTTCATAGAAGCAATCTTTTTTGGTGTCAACAACGTAATAATGTTTTCTTTATCCATATCTATTTATAAATAATAATTTTACGTTTTGTTTTTAAATCAGATTTTTGAAAAGACTACGCGAGGTTTTCACGCTCATGTGACACAGAGGTCCATATATATAAAGCCCAATTATATTCAACCATCTTCTAAAAATTTTTTGGAAAATCGGTTGTTTGAAATACTTGCATGTATGTATAATGAATATTGCTCTTTATGTTTGTAAAAATCCAATTAACATTTAATTAAATTTAGAAATCAAAAGAAAAAAAAAATGTCGGCTGATTTAATTTGGTATTTAAAAGATCATACATGAGTAAATATATATTTATTTATTTTTAAATGTGCTTTTTTTTAATCTGTTAAATAATAATTTAATAGGCTTCTTGTCAAGAATAATAATTCTTTTTTGATAAAACACAATGGTGTACAATTCTCTTCTGAACCAAATAATTTGACCAATTCGAATTCCTTCAAGCATTCTGGTCTTGCCAATAAGAAGGTTTTTTTAAATTTTTAAATTTTTAAAATTATAGTTTGTTCAAATCGACAATTATATTCATATTATTAACTAATTATGTTTTTTAAAAAAAATTTTATAAAGTCAATTGGTATAAGTCCTGAACCAAAGGGTAGAGGTGTTGTTGTTACTACAAAAACTAAAGGTGTATCTTATAAACCTGCAAAAAACACTCGTAAAGTCGTTTTGTCCAAAGGAATTCGTAAATCAGCTAAAAGTATAGCTAACTCTTTAACTCGTGCTGGATATAGACCTGATTTACGAAAGGTTAAACACTTTTTTTTTTTTTACAATTTTGAATGTTTGGGAAAATTGTTTATTCATTTATTCATTTATTCATTCATTTAATTTTTAAATAATAGGAAGCTTTGGCTCGTATGTCAGCCATCTATGAATCACAAAAGCCTAATAAAGTCCATAAAAAGAAGACTGGCCGTCGTCATGCTAAGAGTGCTAAGAAACAAAAATAAAGTCATGGAATTGAATTTATTCTCTGATGAAAATATTTATATTAAATTTTTAAAATAAAAAAATTAATTGTAATAAGCAGAGTATTTGAAATGATTTTAGAAAATGTTTTATAAATATTTTATTATTTTTGAACTTTTGTTTTTTTTTTTTGCTATCACTATATATGGGGCATGCTGCAACAAAACCAGACAGACAAAGTGAACATTGGTATTACCAAATATTTCAGGGATCAAAATTTAGTCATTTTTAATGTGATTCATAATTAATATCCCATTTGTTATCTTAAGTGATATATAGAACTATCCCTATATAAAAATAATTAATATGAAACTAATTTACATTAGGTCTATTATGGAACCCAAGAATTACAGCACCATTAGAAGTATTTTAAAAAAGGAACAAGGTGAAAAAATTGCTCCTTATATTTTCAAAATAAATGATACTCAGACACT